TATTTATTTAAATTTCATATATTTATTCTATTCATATTTATTTGTTTATTTTTAATTAGTACATACATGGAAAGTGAGTATTTATTTATATGCCTACATTTACCCATTATTTCAGTTTTCTTGTTTAAGAGTTTATTTTGGTTTTTAGGACTAACTATTACTAATTTTTCCTTTAAGCATAATTTACAATTTTTACAGTTAGTATTGTATGGGGCTGCTCTTTTTATGTTTTCCCATTTGATTTTGGTAGGGATATTGTTTTCTTTCTTGGCTGCATATGTATATTGATAGGGTTGCATTTCTTTGTATATTTTTTCTTTCAAATGACATTTTGTGGTTATGATATCTTTCTTTAAAAGTTTTTTTTCTGTGGCGCCTATGTAAATCTTTTCGTCTGAGTTAATGTTATTAGTTACGATAACTTTGTATATTTGTTATTGGTTAAGAATTTATTAAGTGGGCAATTTTCTTTGTTTCTTCAGTTCCATTTAATGGCTATTTTATTTTGCTGCACGCTGTTGTTATCGTTGTAATTGTTATTGGTTTTGTTGAGTATTTTATGAGTTATTATTTTCTCCGTGTTATCCATGCATTTATAACTAATTTTAATTGTATTTTTGTTGATAATTTTTGACGATTTACTGTTTTTAGGGAAGTGTTTGTCAATTATTTTGAAGGATATTTCCCTATTTTTGTTTTTACTATATTGTTATATGGGGGATTGAACCAAATTATGTTTCTTTTTCTATTGATTTTGTTTGAAGAAACCTTCGTTAGATCCGACGTGCTTATAACCGATTCGACCACGAAGGAAGCTGCCGATCAAAAGTTTTAAGACCATCCTCTTGTTCTGTGAAAAAACTCTTTAGCCTTGTATCCGAAACGTAAACAAATCAATTTTAAATAAGTAATGGATGTTTTATTTATTAATCTGACATGTTTCTATCTCTTCAAACGTTATATTTTGTGGTTGCCCATATTGGAGTGGGCGGTCCGTTTTACAAGTTTAGCTGTCTACAAATATTATTATAACTACCACCACTTTCTATGATGTTTTATATATATATAATGTGTGTGTGTGTGTGTGTGTGTGTGTGTGTGTGTGTGTGTGTGTGTGTGTGTGTGTGTGTGTGTGTGTGTGTGTGTTTGTGATTTTATTTAATAGATAGATAGATAGATAGATAGATAGAAAATAGATAGATAGATTAGATAGATATGGGAGGCGACAATTTAAATCTGCAATCTATATATATATATATATATATATATATATATATATATATATATATATATATATATATATATATATATATAACTATTTGTCTATGAAAAATATGATTTTATAAAGATTAAGAAGTTCCTGAAATAATTTACAAAAGTTCACAGAATTTGCCAATCGAGAAAAACACTTACCCTAATACTTGGTTTCCAGCGTTTCAAAAAAAATAACAAAAAATAATCTTCACAAAGAACTCATACTATATTCGGTTTTTATACGCTCTTCAAATTCCCTGGACTGTTGGTCAGCAATTTTTGTACCAAAAAAGTTATAATAAAAATTATTTTACAAAAAAGAAACGCAAAAAGATTTTCTAATATTTGTTTAGTATTTGCCGGAGACATTTTAGTATAAATTATGTATATTTTTTTTTTCCTTTTTTATTTACATTTTTATTTTTATTTTCATTAAGTTGAAGTCTGATCATGGCTATTTCATACTTGAAGTAGATTTAAAAAATGATTTTGTAAAGGCTTTTAAAGAAGTATCGTACTGACGAGGGATGACAATAGAAAATTTCTTTCGATTTTCAGCTGAAATGTTTAAACTTCTTTTTAGCTGAAGAGATTTGTTATGAGGACAAAACTTAGACGTAAATCGATTTGGATGAGTAATGATTCTCTCATTTTGAATTTCAAATAAGCAACTTTGTAATAATACAATGTTGATTTCGATCAAAAACCAGAGCTGATATTATTATTATTATTATTATTATTATTACTTTGGTTCTCTGTTTATACACATTTCCTTCCGGGTCCCAACCAGAAACCTAAGGCCAGAAATAGCTTCAAGACATCTTCTACTGACCTTTTTTAAAAATAAAATTAAAAAACTAAGATCTTACACATTTTACATAGATAAAGCTCATAGTAATGTCTCAGCTGTACTCGTGAGTGCAATTTTTTGCATTTTTTTTAAGGCATGAACTACTAGGAATCACTTCAATTAGCCTTTCGGAACCTTTTCCAATCAATTATTATTATCATTATTTCCTTTGATTTCTGTTGTATACTCATTTCCACACGGGTCTCAACCATAGACCTAAAAAAAAGAAACAATTACCACAAACACAACATAGATAAAGCCCGTCGTAGAGTGGAAGCTGTGCTTTTTCCAATCAAACCCAGAGTGGCAACTACAACTGTAATCTATATAAATAAATGTGTATGTCAGTGTGTCATTGTGTCACACTTTTTCAACTTTACTCCTAGAGGCCGTAGCCCAACATATCATACCATTTTGGAATCAGGCCGAGTCTGTGAACAAATTAAGACATTCCGGGTCTGATCCAGACTCATAATCCTGAAATATTGAATTTCCAAGTTTTCGTTACTGCGATTGTTTTTGGGTTCCACCATCTTGGCTTCTACTGATAAAAACAATTAAAGGGACACAACTCTCTAGCTTTCAATAGTTCATGTTCAAATGAAAAAAAAAATTACTGTTCTCAAATTACAGTCTTTCAAAATAAAATTGTCCGTGTTTTCAACTTTACTCCTAGAGGCCGTACCCTAACATATACCATTTTGGAATTAGACCGACTCTGTGAGCAAATTGAAAACACACCGGGCTGGATCTGAACCCACAATATGGTAATTTTGGATCCCCAAGTTTGTTTTCGGCGATTTTTACGTGATTTTTTTTGTACGATAACGATTTTTATAACTTAGAAATAAATTTAAGAATAATCGAAATTAATTACGAAATCCAGCGAAAGTCACCGTGATTATCGTTGAACTTTTAAAAGGTAAGTTTAAATATTAATGCAATACTTCAAATAGTAATGCAGCGATCAATCTTGAGTTCTTCTGTAGTTTATCTATCGCATCTACTCTAACCTAACCCTAACTCTATTTATTGTGATGAAAGCCCAATCAAGAGCCCTCCGTAGGAGATAGAATAAATATCCGCCCGATATTAATGTGTTCATGTACCATATTTTTAAATTTCCTTCAGTATTAAGATACCAGGATAGAAAGTATAAAGATGTAACTTATTATTATTATTATTATTATTATTATCATCATTATATCCCTTGATTTCTGTTGTATACTCATTTCCTAAAATTAAAAAATTTAAGAGCACGTACATTTTACATAGATAAAGCCCTTCGCAAGGTGTGAGCTCTACTTGTGTGAACAATCTTTTGTATTTCTTTAAGGTATGAGATGCCAGGGATCCTTTCAATGATTCTATCGGAACGTTTTCCAATCAAACCCAGGGCTCCAATCACAAATTGATGTCCTCATGTGCCAGATTTGGGGGGTGACACTTCATGATCCTTGCATTTTTATAGTTTTTTGAACATCTTCAAAGATACATTACACTCTGCAGGAACTGCCATGTCAAGAAGAAAGCACATTCTGTTTTTGTAGTCTTGCCTCAATTGGCTTTGATTTTTCTGTCTGTATGTTGTTGTATTATTATTATTATTATTATTATTATTATTATTTGTTTATTGTTGACAAATTGGTGAAGTCATTTTCCCTGTTCGGATGTTAAATAATTACTTATTTTTTTATTCATATTCTTTCGCATTTATAGACTTTGAAGAATGAAAGTTCTTTTCACTATATTGAAAGTTGTCTCCTTATTAAAAGATAATGCTCTGATGCTGTCGGATTTTATTAGATTTTTTTATGTGGCTTTATTCATTTTTACAAATATACAGATACGAAAATACGGCTACTACTGACAAGATAAAAACTGATTGCATTTAAATGTGTATTTTTTGTTGAATGTCTAAGCAACTTCCTTTCTTCTTCTTTTTTAACACCAATCAAATCATGAGTTGTAAACCAACGTAACAACTAGGTAGACATAAAAATTAATCTAGGCCGGCTGATAATTCTTTTTAAATGAGTTTGCGATATCGGCGTTTATTTATTTCTTTCAGTTGCTATTTGTTTTTATGTTAGCTTTCCACGTTAACACTGAGATACCAGTATAAAACAGTATAAAGATATCAGTATAGAATAGTATAAAGATACCAATATAAGAGAATATAAAGATAAGACTAATAAATAGCATAAATGCATCAGTATAAAACATCTTTGTCCTTTGTATCCGAACTTTTTAACATCAACGCTTGAGACCTAAAGGAATCTTTTACATGCAAAGTAGGCTTGGAGATGCCGGCTCTTCTGAGATGTAACTGGTGTCTTAAGACAGCTAAGTCGGGCGATTCGGCATCGTTTTCAATTTCCTCATACGAAGTCCCCGAAGTCTGCGATTCGTTTATCTTGACGGAATGGAAATTGTTATCGTAAAAATGATTTATTTCTGACTGTGGGGAATAATTCGCGTCTGGTAGGTTAAACTCAGACGTAAAACCAGTACTGAAGGATTTCTGAGACAACATGAATTCCCCGTTAGCAATCCGGTGCTTGGAACCTGAAAACATAACGTTTTCATCTGTTAGAAAGCTGAAGTTTTCATCGATAAAATGGCCCTCCAGAGCCGCAGATGTCGAAAGGTTCTTTACTGATTTCGGAACATAGAGATTCATGTCGGACATGAAACGTCTCGGTTGGCCAATATGTTGACCGCTATAGTCCGAACTTTTAATGCCTTCCGTTAAACCGGAAGTTAGTATATTACTGCGTAAATGAGGCTGTTTGATTTGAGTCAGATTTGCAGTCGGTTGCTCTTTGTTCTTTCCTGTACAAGTGATCTGTTCACTTCGTGCAGTGCGTTTACCTTTTCGGCTAACTAACCTCACAAAAATATTCCGTTTTTTCTTCTTCTCCGTGTTTTTATCCTCAGGTTTTGATGCGCTTGCTTGCTGTCCCGACGTTAACTCTGATTCAATGCCATTGGAGCAGCCATTATTTAAACGCGGACTCTGAGAAAAGTTACGTCTATGGTTCTTATAATAATTGGTGTTCAAGTGAGGCGTTGATGTGAATGATGTTCGATACTTCCGTTCGCCTGATTTGCGATTTCCGTTCGAACTTACTGGATTCATATCAGTAGATAGATCTGAAAGAGATCTATAAACCTGTTGGTTTAGGGAATCCGATTCTGAACCGCTTTTTCGAAGAATGGCTGTCGTCATCGGAGTCGATACCGTCTTTTTTCGCTTCATTCTTCCTGGCAGTAAACGATGCCATAAAGATGGTATCGTACTGTCAAAGAAATCTGGAAAAAAAAAGAATTATTTTATTAATCAGATTAAATTAAAATGATGTGATTCAGGGATTTACGCTTTTCAAAAAAATCGATTTACGCTACTTCACATTTACGAAAGACCTGTATGAATACAAATTTTTTCCGTAATTCGAAATAACGTAAACGAATAGGAAAATATTTTTAGCGTTCCCAGATCCCCAAAATAGCTTTCTCCTATGTCTTCTCGCCTCCATGTTGGCAGTCAACGTTAAACGCTTGCTGTGGCTTGTGTGTAAGTCTTGAAAAACAACAATAGACATAACCATTTAGTTTCACTATTTTTGTGAAGACTCAAAATATCCTGCAAATATTTACACCCTTTACTGCAATTATAGTCGCACTGTCAGCTGTAGAGAAAAATCTCATAAAAGGTTATTTTTATGTTTTAGGAACCCTTACAAATTTTCTATATAAATTAATAGTAACTGCTTCTTCGTTTTATGCCAATTGAGATATTAATGTAAATCTGTATTGGAAGTAAATATTAAACTGATCGAATATGAGAATGCTCCTTATCTGATCTGATCTTATTATTGCCTATAAGTCCAAGGGTGTGAATGATCACAGTTAATAAGAACAAAAATGAAGGCGGGAAACTGATGTTACTTTCAAATGAATGCTATTTGATAAAAACGTTATTCCCGTTAATTTTAACCATTTCACCTCAAACCAGGCTATAATGCCACTAAGTCGGAAAAGGGTTACTGGGAGTGAAAGGGAATGAAAATACTTTATTGAGGAGAAAAGACAATAAAACAACAAATTCAAGAAGATAGAATATAGCGATTGGAGTTGCATTTAAATTTTTGAAGATTGTGGGTGGAAGGGAAACAAGGAAGGAAATTCCACATACAGGAAATGTAAAAAAAAAACTATCTGAATAGAATATACGGTTGCGTCTAGCAGGGTCAACAGTAAAACGACGAGACTTAGTTGGCAATCTAGTAGTCAAGTTGAATTTATAAAGTCAAGGCACCATGGAGGAAAGTTCATCAGAGCAATTACGATGAAAATAATTGTAGAAAAGACAGAGTGAAGCCACGACACAGCGGTGAGAAAGTGACTAATGGCGGTGTGGAGGAATGAGTGTTTCTCGAAGTTTGGCCAAAAAAAAAAACTCCTCGTGCAGTTCCCCAATATACAACACAATTTGTACAAACAACGTAGACAAAGAAATTTGACAAAAAACAAGCTTGTTAAAAACAAACAACTTATATTTTATGGCAACTGGACAAACGAGGAAATGAATTTACAAAGAGTAATATTGTCCATAAATTCCACCACGTATAGTAGATGTGTGTATGTTGGACGTAGTCCTAAATAATAAAGAGAAAAGGAGAGATAAGCTGGTCATTACATACATGTGTGTGTGTGTGTGTATGTGTGAAACCTGATATATATGAGTCTATCAGTCCATTAGCCTTTCAGTTCAACAGCTGCGTGAATTAGCGTGTCCGGTGTATCATTGCTCGGTTCAGTGTCTTGTGTTTTGAACTAAAATTCTTGTGTTTATATATTATCTGATAAGATCAAAAATAGCTCACAGCTAATATATTTTAAGTTCTCGCGGCAGATTTTATTACTGGTCAAATAAAGTTTAAGTGTGAGGACGTAGGAGAAAACACCACACGTGATCTGATTTAGGCAATGAAATTAGTAGAAATAATTTATTTTAGAACTTGACTATTTTTGTTTCTGTGACAATTTTTTAAAAGTTCTTGATCCGATTTTTCTAGAATATTCTAATATATGTTTTGTCTGCTGATTGGTTCACAAATATATGAGAGTGAATTCTATGTGAGTGAGATTTGGATCTTTTTTTTCTAGAGTATTCTATCTACGTGTTCTTAGCTAATTCAACTAAAAATAAAAAAAAGTGTGGATCCTATAAGAGTATTGTCCTATCAAAGTATCTTTTATAAATGTTTATGACATCATCCCTGCGTTAGGTCTCCATGCCAGTCATCTTGACAGTGATTTTTTTTATTTTAATAGATTTCTTAAAGCTCCTTATCAGAAGCTCAGATAATAAAAAAAGAAAACGGTTGTAGTTGATAAAAAATGATATAAACACCAATTCACATATTGTCTGCAATCTTCTTTTGTGCGCCGTGTGCCTGCAAAACCTAGGCGATCATGGCTCTCCACAAGTTCCTATCTCTTGTAATACTAAGCAATGTGTGCCAATTTACTATCATTCCCTATTGATATTCTGCCATCTATTTATACAAGCTTGTTAGGTAGATTACTCACTGTTTCTTTCTATTTCTCTTTCCTTTAGTATGTCCTGTGAGTGTCAAATTCACCAAGTGCTCTTTCCTCATTATGTGTCTCATGGAGCCCAACTGTCTCTTTCTGATTCTTTCTTATCCGAAATAAAAGTGTCCTTTTCGTTCCTATGTTCCTTGCTCGTTGCTCACATGTCTCGTCCATGGTATTCTCATAGTAAACTAAACTTAGTAAATAAGTAATTTACATATTCGGATCAGTGAGTTTCGTTCTTAACGATTCTTAAGAGAGACAATCTGAGATGCGAGCTGCAAATTGGATACTTCAAAATAAAGTAAATACAGAAATTTAACTATCTGGAAAGACGGCGGAAAATATGACACTGAAATCCGAAGTCGCTGTCGAATAGCGAAATATAACTTCCAAAAGCTAAACAAAGTATTAAGGCAGGAATAAATAATACGTTAGAAATAAAGAAAAGAGAGCTGAACTGCTATGTAATATCAATCACTCTATATGGTAGTGAATGCTGGACAATTTCCTTACAGATGAAGAGGGGATTTGAGATAACGGAGATGTGGTTCTATAGAAGGTGAATATCATGGACGGAGCAACAAGGACGCTCGAAGAAAAAGAAAAACAAAAACCTTACTTGTACTTAAAAGACACCAAATGAGGAAAGTGGACTTGGAAATTTGGAAACTCAAAGGACATATTGAAGGAAAGGAGGGGAAGAAACAGCAATTAACCTACCTAACGAACTTGTGTAAATGTAAGTATTTAAATTTGTCCAAGAAATAATTTGTTGTTGTTGCTGTTGCTGTTGTTGTTTTTTTTTTTTTTTTTTTCCTCACAAAAGCTTAAGATAATATGGCTGGGAAGACTTCAAATACCGACAAGATTTCATGAGAAAAGCTTACTTTGCCCCGGAACTTTCCCAGATAGCTTCTTCTTTTGTTATTTTTTGGGGGGTCGGGTTTTTTATAGGGGGTTGTGGGGGGAGTATAAATTTCTTTATGGGGGTATCAATTATCTTCTTTTCTGTGGTTTAATCATAGTTGGGATAGTTGCACATTACTTACTTGCCCCATTGCTCAATGTCACAGCCCAGGTAAAAAGCTAATATTTCGAATGTTTTTTACTAGGCAAAATGGATCATCCTCACTTAAAATGCTGATACAGCATAATATTTCTGGTCGCCATTTTTAACCCTTTTCTACTGGAACATATCGTCGATGTTCAAATCGGGGTAAAAAGCAAATGCTTATTTTTAAAAGCTGATACGCGGGCTTTCCTTACTTATAACTTTATAGCAATACAATCCCCAAAGTGGCTTGCGTATATCACATTGAAACACCGGTTCCCGTACAATCACCAAAGTTAAGCAACATCGAGACTGTTCAATACCTAGATGGGTAACCTCTTGGGAATACCATGTGCTGTAAGCTTGAATGTGGGGATGGATAATGGATCTAAATTGTTAATCGGAGAAGCGAATTCCAAATCCCGCTGAGTTCGTTATATTCAATACGTGCAAATACCATTGGGAAAGGTATGAATCCACCTCTTCTACCCCAGCTATGAGTTCATTAGTAAGATGTGTATAACTAAACTATTATTATCTCCCCGACCAGCACCACAAAAAAATATTCTTACAATATAAAAATAGTTTCTGGCCTGAAACAATACGCTAAGGGTTGATAAGCCGTAGAAAGCGAACCAATCAACCAATCAATACTCCAAACAGAATTGTCCTGACCAGTCTGACTTGTGCCAAGTTAAGCACAAAAATACCGATAAACGGACTGACTGAAATTATTATGCAGGTTAAACTAATATTACCTCTGAAATCTAATAAAAACTATTTTTTCTTTTTGTCCATAATATATGTTGAAACATGGGTAACGGGAAGGATCTTACAACTGCTGAAAAGCAGAAAATAACAAAGTTAATGAGTGAGGAATGTCCATATTGGAGATATCAAAGGAGATTTGCAGAGATCATCGAATGATAAATAAGGCTGTTGAAAATATGATTAAGTTTAGGACTCGAAGAAAATGAAAAGGCTTTAAGAACTTGCTTCCTCGAGATGAACATAAACTAAAGGGAGTTATAGCAAAACAACCACTTTTGACCAGCGCTCAGATCTTTGAAAAGGATGAAATTGAGAGAGCCCAGAAGAACAAAAGGTGTAGAATACTTTGTGAATTGGGATTTGTAAACAAATATCCTAGGCAACCTTCTCTCACTAAATCAAATATATTAAAGCGTCAAAATTGGTCCAAGAAATACGTGAAAACTGACTTTTATTAAAGTAATTTTCACGGAAAAATCTCGAGTGAGATTTGATGAGCTTGATAGATGGGACAAAGGATGGATTTTATCCAATTCAGATGTGCCTGTGGCTAAAAGAATGAAACAAGGTGGTGGTAGTGTTATATGGGGTGGGACTGCCGACCAAACCATTATTGAACTATTTAAAGTTGATGAAGCAGTTTAACTGAACAGTGCTAACTATTGTGATTTTATGAACAAGAATTGCTTTGCATGGTACAAGTCTTAGTCTCGCAGTTTCAAAGTGAAGTGTGTATTTATACATGACAATGCTTCTTCTCATGTACCTAAGCTCACCCGTGAATTATTTGAGAATAAAAGATTTACAGGAGAGAAGATAATGGAATGGCCACCATCAAGTCCTGATCTGAATCCGATCGAAAATCTATGGTCAATTGTGAAGATGAAATTATTTAAAGGTGGCAAAAAATATAACAGCAAAGCAGGCCGATGGGAAGCAATTAAAACTACCATGTCGGAAATTGAACCTGATGAAGTAAAAATAATAATAAAATCAATGGATAATATATTACTGGCTGTTATTGAAAAGGGTTACTATATTAAAATATCATGTGTTTGCTATGTTCCATTATAGGTGTTGATAAATTTTTGATGATTTTATTAACTTTTATTGAAGTAAAATGTGATTATTTGGTTTTGATTAATAACTTCAGATGGCAGTTTTTTTTAGAATACATCAAATAACTTCAATAAAACATATTCATACTACCGAAAATTTTAACTCGGATTTTGTTTTGACATCTAAATTGATTGTTTAAGATTTGATAATTTTTCAAACCAAATTTGAATTATTGAAGTTCATATGATTTGCTTAATAACTTCAGACAGGGTGTAGTTTCGTCAACTGTTAAAAGAAAAAAAGAGAAAGGGAAAAAAGAGAAAAAGTTAAAGTGTGGGTATAAAGTAAAAAATAACTAAGAAAAGGACAAATGATCAGGACACCCTACACGCCTTGGGTTTGTTAAAAAAAATTGTGTGCTCTCTCCCAGAAATTGTAACTAAGCTCAGCATAGTTGCAGTATAGACCACAAGTAGGTTGTTGTGGGTTGAGCAGGTGTCTGTAATTGGGCTCGACAGCCGGGAAGACAAGTGGACGCGAAAATGAGTAGTAGCCGGCCAATTCATATTATATAAATAAATATTCATATATATCTATTTATTCATATTAATGCCTACGCCATATACAATATATATATATATATATATATATATATATATATATATATATATATATATATATATATCATGAAAATAGTGAGAATAAGAGTGTGTGGGGGGTGTTTTTGGGTGTGTTTATGTGTGTGAAAAATAAAGAAAGAAAGAAAGAAAGAAAGAAAGAAAGAAAGAAAGAAAGAAAGAAAAGACTGAAATAAAGACTAGTTCTATTTATAATATACAATAATCTTTCGTAGCATTTTTTTGCTTCTTAGCAACTCTGGTCATCCTGTGAATCTGTTGTATAAAGTTATTGAAATTTTATTTAAGTGTAGGCATCCCTTTGAGATGGAAGGCCAAATAGACAAGAATGAGCATGCTTGACATCTTCTCTTTGCTTTTAATCAAGATCTCGAAGCTGCTCGAAACGCAGATAAAATACTTCAAAACAACCTAACGGTCAATGCTAAGTTCTATGTTGAACAAATGAACCGACTCAAAGAAGCAATTCAGCTGAAAAGTCCTGACCTGCGATACAATGTGATTATTCAACATGACAATGCTCGTCCCCACTTTGCTAATATGACCAAACATGCAATTAAAAAACTCGGTTGGGAAATTCTACCACGGCCATATTCTTCTGATTTAGCTCCTTTAGAAAACCACCATTTTCGGTCACTTTCTCACAATTTGAGGGGTGTTTCGTTTAACAACGACGTGGATGTTAAAATATATTAATAAAAAAAATATCTGGTTAAGGCAATGTTGGTGCAGTCCATATATTGTACGGGGATACTGGTTTAAAAAATGTATTTAAAATAAACGAGATTTATATCTTAAATTTAAAATGTATATTTATTAATATACTAGCAGCATTACCCGGCGTTACCAGGGTTTATTCAAAAAAAGATCATGAACCTCATCCAATCTGTAAAGTTAAAATAAAGAAGATTTTTCTTTAGTGCCTCTTATCTATATGGCGAAAAATTATAATGACATGAAGTGTGAAAACATTTATAACAGGAGAAAGTTGTTTTGTACAGAAGCACAAAAGATACAAAAAAAATTGTCAGCAAATGAAGAGTACATTAATCGCAATCGATCTTCGAAAATTGTTGGGGAGAAATGCTTTGTTGACAGCTTTTGCTCAAACTACATCGAATGAACAACATGCATTGGAAGGAGAAGAAATTCAACAAAGGCTTCTACCAGCCGTGCCAAGGCTGAAAAACCAGCGTTTACAAAGAGTGTATAGAATTGTTCTTTGCCCCTCAGTTTCGACAGCTCGAGTAACAAAAGTTCTGGCAGCGTTCCTTCCTCGTCTAGTTAACCGTTGCTCATTAGTTTCTGCTGACCTTGCATTAGGTGTACGAATAGCATTTTGTGTCAGTCTAATTTGAGTTTCTTGTTGCGAAGCGTTTCTTCTCCGTGCTTTCATGCGTTTGGCTGTATTGGTAGCAAGTCCAAGTGAAGGATTTCGTTTTCTTGCATTACTGTCAGGCTGTAGTTGGCGGGGTTTGGCCAAGATTTTTGAATAACAATGAAGTCATAAATTAAAAAGCAAGAATATTATACACATTAATGGACATATAGCCACAATAAATTAAATGCAAGTTTATAAGGGAAACCACGGGAACGTGGTAAAAAATTGTAAGCAAGCTCGTAGTAAAGTTAGGATTTATCTAAAAATAGACTAACAATAAAACGTTCTAGTGATAAAAATAAAAATTAACGTGCAGCTAAAACTTACTCACTATGAACGTTAAAACGTACACGCTAAGTTTAGCATAATTATAAATGAATCGAAAGAGGGTCTTTATATTATTATAAGTGCATTTTTCAGAATAAAACTGTCAAAATTTTAGGGCTCAAGTTTCCAAATATATGAGTTAGTAAGCATTATTTAAACTCTGATTAGAAGATGATAAATACATAATTAAAAATTAGCATTTACGCTTAAACATTTTAATAATATGATTTTCACAAATTTAAATTTAAAGTATCAAAAATTCAAAATATACATGCATGAAGGCAGCCTACCTTTTTACTGGATGACAACTTTGATGCGAATTTACATTTGCATTTATTTCATCACATAGCACTAATGAACACTACACGTGAAGCAAAATCGATAGTACGCCCTACATAACTCGATCGATCATTGCACGTGGAGCAAAATCAATTGTACATACTACACATGTCGATCGATCTCGCACACGCGTCTTATACATACCTGCACTTCGCTCATCGATGCATACTTTCGTTTGCACTTATTCTTTTTTTTCTTAAGGAAGGATATAATTTTTACTGTCAAGTTAATGCAAACTAAACTATTTCAGTACCAAAACGTGTAATCCATGGGAAAAACTGATATTTTTCATAATGTATTTATGACACGTGGGGTGTCAGTTTTGATTTTGAGTTGATTGATCTAAATTTTCATCGGAATGCTGCTAACCACTACAACTGAAATACTAACGGGACAGCAATGTGCTCATGGGTCATCTTGGGGCCACTTATGCAGTTTTCAAAATCTGGTAATCGTTCTTGATTCATTTTAAGATTGTAATATACATGTAAAATTCCGTCGAAATCGAAGCAATTTGAAAATTTGGAGGTTCCTTAGGTTCACCCTAGGGGTCCCAAATTTCAAGCCAAAGGACAGGTTTAAGACTAATAGTAATTGAAATAATAAAGCCCATCTTTTTTAAGTTTTCTATTTAATCGACTTTATGGCCAATGCTGTAGACTTAACTGAAAATTTCGGTGTTCCCTGCTGGTCCCCTAACTCGTAAGGGTCCCACTGTTGATTTTTAGTGAATTCCAAGTGATGACTTCAGTTACTCGATATGATCTCAATATGTACTGAAATTTTCGTTGAAATTGGGGAATACTGCTACAAAATACACTTGAAAAGCAATTGAGTCATCAAGGGG